GCGCGTTGGAGTACCGGGGCCTTGGTGCTTGCGCTGATCCGCTTAGGCCAAAGTGGCCGCTAAGCGTTCGCAAGCTGGCCACACTCCTGCGCTTCATCGAACGCCGCTCGGCGCAGCACGGCGCAGCACGGCGCAGCACGGCGCAGCACGGCGCAGCACGGCGCACCATCCCCCGCCAGGCCGTAACAGACGCTACGCGCGATGCTCCAGCACACACCCCTCTCTTATGCCCCGGTAAAAAAAAAAAAAAAAAAAAAGCGAGCGCCCCTTTTGAGCGTTCTTCAAAAGACTGGCACCTCGTTTCACGGATATTAAAGCGGGCGGCCCACCGCCGCCGTGCTGCCGACTGTCGCCTCGCCTTGCGTCTCTCGCGTCAACATAAAGAACGCCGCGGGCGAGCAGCAAAACCCTCAAGGACTTCACTGAGAAAACAAATGCGGAGGATTCCGCACAATCTGATGCGGTGTAATTTTCTATCAATTTGACCGCACTAACTGATGCGGAGAAGATTGACTTCATTTACTCCTGCGGTGTGTGCCAAACTGATGCGGTCTCAGTTTTGACCGCATTAGTTGAGGTGGATTTGAAGATCCCACGATATTTACAGCAGTGGCAACTTCCCTTCCCAGTCCATCCTCAAAGTGGTTACGTTTACTTGGCCATCTCATTTACTTCTTAAACAATATTATTTGGGAAACCAGTACATACCTGTCATGTAGATGTTTGTAACGCTGAGATGAGCGTAAAGTTAACAGCGATATCAGCCTCATTAAGTAGTTTTTTTAAAAATAAAAACCAATGATTGAAACTGCATTTTTTTAGAGATGAATTGTCACACAATTTGAAAACACAATTCAAAATTCTTTTTATCTTTCAAGTCCTCGGCAGTCTTCGGTGAGAACAGCACTGAGGTTTCCAATGTTGTCCAGCCCAGGGCAAGGTTGAGGTTAAGTGACCGGGTTGCTTTGGCACAAATATTTTCAATACTGCAATATACAAGCATGTCAACACATGCGAAGCACTACAGTACAACTGTATTTTAGTAATATTCATAGTTTTATGCTTTAAAACATCCACAACTATTGAAAAATCGTTTTTTCACACAAAGAAAGTTCAAGACACACACTCTCATAGAGAACAACAAAACAAGCCTAACAACAAGAAGATGGTAGTGCCAACCTAAGATCTTGGGAACGTGCTAGCGTTAAAGTAAAACCAACTTTGGATGTATTTTAGGGATTTTTAAGGGAATGGTTTGTTTCTTAAAGCTTAAAATTTGATGAACGACTCACACAAAAGAACAACTTTATAGTTAACTTTCTGACTCATAAGATGTTATTTTCTTATGTTGGCACTCCTTTGTTTTTGTTTAGCTTATTTATTTTGTTGTTGATTTGTGTGATAGTGTCAGAGATTTGAAAGATTATTCCTTTAGAAAACGTTCTTGCAATGGTTTGGAATGATTCAGACCCTGAAATTATGAAATAACCTCAATCAAAGAAATGCTGTAGTGCGTCGTGTGCGTTGACTTGTTCAAATACAGCAGCACAGACAATTCTTCAGTCAAGCAGCCGGCGGGTTTAATCTTACCAGCATGCAGCATAGCCTGGCTCATGGAAACTAGTATCACCAAGAAGTTTGAGGTTAAAAATAATTTAAAGTGATGAATAACAATAGTTTGATACTGCATTTGGAACAATATCCAGTGTCAATCAACATTTTATACAGCCAAAATTATTATTCCATGGCTTGCTGTTTCAAACACAGGATATTTACTCATCGCAGCGTTACAAACATTTACATCAAAGGTATGTGTTAGTTAGTCAATGATAAGCATCAGAAGTAAATGAGAAGGCACAGTACATGCCATCCTTTTCTGGTTGTCCAGTAAGAGACGGAAAGTTGGTAGCAGCCGCTAGCTGTTTGGCTGTTATGAAATGTAGGACTCCGCATCTGTTCATGCGGTCAAAATGGAAACCGCATCAGGAAATGCGGTTAAATTTTACACCGCATGACTCCTGCGGTGAAATTGCATCAAAATCCTGGCTATTCAGGTGACCGCATCACTTCATGCGGTCACTTACCTAAACCGCATTTCAAATGCGGAATTCTCCGCATTTGTTTTTTCAGTGTTTACGCGGCGGCGCACACGAACGCACACACACGCACGCACACACACACACACACGCACACACAGGCACACACACAGGCACGCACACACACACGCACTCACACACACGAATGCACATAATACAGACACACACAAAGACGCGCGCGTCGGTTTACCTGTGCGATGGCGCAGCCAGACACACGTACATCCTCCACTAACCTTCCCCCGCGTCCATACCCCCTCCCCAACCCGCGCACGCACACGGACGCACGCACCACACAATTTACATGACAAAACGGAGTCTGGCTGGAGGTCACATGGAATGTGTCGGCCCACCCCGCCCCTCCCCGATCGGTCTGAACGCTTTGGCAGCGCGTCTAACAGCGCCACGCCTCGGGGCCGTCGGGCGGTTCCGGCGGTTCCCATAGGTAGCCCGGCAGCGAGGAGCAGCTCCCACTCCGAGACAGACTACGGCCGCGGGCCACTCCATCCCGACAAATCCACTCGCAACCGCTCGCAGCGGAGCCGCCGGAGCGTTGGCCAAGCAAACTCTGTTCTTGTTTGCGGAACTGTGCGCATATTATTCTCATCAGGCATAGGCTATCGGCGCCGCCAGTGGCCTCAACAACGCCGTCGCCAAGAAAACAGTCGCACTCCCGCCGCCGCCGGCGTGGCAAGAGCGACTCTCTTTGTGTTTTGTTTACCGCATCTCGGTTGATGGCCGTGTCCCGTCCCTTTCATTTCACTTCGGAGTGAACGTGTTAAACCGGCTCTGGCCCGGAACCTATTTCCCGACACGCGCCGACCGTCCGGCCGTCCGCGGGGCTGTCGGGGCCGCGCCTTGTCGCGGTGAGATCGCGGCCACCTGGCGCGGCACGCGGCGCGACGCCACGGCCGCTCAATACACGCCGGCCAACGACCGCCTCGAAGACGACGCGAACGACGTGGAACGGCGCGGCGACACGCAGCCGGACGCACGCGAGGCGCGCGAGGCACTCCTCGAGCTGCTGGCGGACCGCCGCGCCCGAACACCTTCCCCTAACGCCTCCCTGCCTCTCCACGCGAATCGAAAAGAATGAAAAAAAAAGAGAGAAACTTTACTTTTCGTTCCGCTCCTCCCCGCCACTGCTGGCCTTTGGGCCTTTGGCTGGCCGTCACAGAGAAAGCCATTTCACTGCGAATTAGAAGAGAGAAAAGACACTGGCCGAGGGCCTCGCCGCGGCACATGGGGCCGGCCAGCCCTCGTTTACGTGAATGGGACCAATGACATCGCGCCGCGGGGGCCGGGGAAAGGGGGGGGGGGGAATTCAATACGCTGCAGTGACGTGGGGGAGCGGCGGCGGACCTCGTTCGTTCGACTCGGGCCCATCCCGCGGCGAGTTTTAATGAGCGCAGAGCGCCTGCGGTGGGCGGGGTAGGCAGCGCGCCACGCTCGGGGCCCCTGCCGTGGGCGGGGTAGGCAACGCGCTCGACAGCCGTGCCGCGGGGTGGGCTACCCGCCGGTTCGCAGGCGTTCTCGCAAGACCAGTGGAGGCGGCCAAAACTCCAGACGCGTTTTGAGCTCCAGAGTCGCTAAAAAGGCTCGAACCGTACGTGTGACCCCACCAATGGATTCCTCGTTCGGAGAGCAATCCATTGGTGGGGTCACACGTTCAGTTCTAGTCCCATAAAGCGACGCTGGAGCTCAAAACGCGTCTAGAGTTTTGGCCGCCTTCCCCGGTCTTCTGGCCCACTGTGCACCGTGAGTCGACTTGAGAGGCTAGACCACAACTACTGATCTTACGCACCCTAGTGGGTTCTTGTCGTTAGAGTCACTCTAGTCGTACCAAATACTCTTGAGCCCAGTGTATATCCTTCGTGGAAATGAAATACTCTTACTGCCGTCCAGAGTATCTCTTTTCAGGGTGTGCCGGTTCGGGCCCGGTCTGCCGGCGCCCCGCGCTCTTGAGGTTGGCGCGGCAGACAGCCAATGGGGCAGCAGCGGAGTCATCAGTTCCCTGTCCCTCCCCTTTATTTCAGCATTGCCTGCATTGCTTGAGCCACCTGCAGTTCACTTGGGGGGGGGGATTCGCTGTCGCTCGGCTCCCGGCTGTCTCCTCGTAATGTTTACGCGCCGTATAGCAGCGGCGGTATAAAAGCACTTGAATTTTCTGCGCGGGCGAAGCGGGGCGGGGCGGGTGGCGGGCGGCAGCGCTTGACTCCAATCCAGACGCTCATCTCGCTGCAAGGCACGGCGTGGCACGGCGTGGCGTGGCGCGGCGTGGCGGCCGCCTCCACGTTGCTCTCCTTCCGAGGAGACTTTGACGGACGGGCGGGCGGACGGGTTACCTGGCAGTCCCGCATCGCGAGCATCGCAAGCATCGCGCATCGCGTCGCCACAAGCAAATGCATACATGTATGCGCCCGCCAGCCGTACGCCCGGTGGGGCGGCCGCCTTTGGGGCGCACCCCATCAGCCGTGACTCTGTGTGTGTGTGTGTGTGTGTGTGTGCGTGCGCGGCCTGTGTGTGTGTGTGTGTGCGTGTGCGTGTGTGCGTGTGTGTGTGTGTGTGTGCGTGTGTGTGTGTATGTATGTGTGTGCGTGGGGGTGGATATGCGGGCTGCCTCGCGGCGCTTGAGCAAGTAGTTGTTGCTGTGTTTTGGTGGCAAACTCCGCGCGACCGCGAACGGTGGGCCCGGGAGACGTCCTCAAGGCCTCATACCAGGCGGGGCTACAGTGCCTACAGGCGTGGCGGGCGGGCGTGCCCAACTGAGACTGCAGCCCCGTCGGGTGCCTTTCTTTTTTTTTTTTCTACCTTTCTACCTTCTTTTTTTCCGACCTGCCTCCGATAGCGCATATAGATAGGTTGTTGTGGACGATACCAAGTTAAGATAGGTGCTTGTTGACTCACCGTCGGCGGAGGTGGCGGCGCGCAGGTGCGCCGGGTACTTGGCGATGACGCGCTTGATGACGTCCACCTGCTCCAGGGTCAGCTGCACCGCGTTGAGGTACTGCGACTCGCACGGCACGTACGCCGCCCAGAACTGCCAACAGGGAGAACCGAAAGTTTGTTTCGGCGTCCTAGCAAGGCGACAGACAGGTTCGGGCGCGGCACTCTGCTGGGCGGCAGCGCGGCGTCCCCCCGTATGGAATTGGAAATCTGGAAACGGTCTCTTAGAGGTCTTGTTCTCGTCTTCCCGGGAAGACGAGTTAGCGAGCACGGCCAGACCGATTGGAGACTATAAGTAGACCGATGTAAGACGAGTGCCAGACGAGAACGCGGTCCGTGCAGCCGTCTTCCTCTGGTCTTCCTGCAGTCTGACCGTGGTCTGTCTGCCGTCTGGATTTGGTGCCTTTCCAGACCAGATCCAGACCAGATTCAAACGAGATTCAGCCGCCTACATAAAAACAAACACGCGAGTGGCGGACACTGCGTATCGAACACAGACTGTCCGCGTCGGAAACCGGTGCCCCATGCCGCTGGGCCAGAGCGACATGGTTGAAGAGGGGGCCGAGCGGAGCCGTAGTGTATCTGATTCGACCGGCTGGGTGGAAAGAGCAAGTGCCGCCCGAACTCTGAAGTTCTTCCCGTCTTCTAAAACAACGTCTCCCCCTACATCGCGCTCTGTGATCGCGGTTACTACTAAGGCGCAAATAAATATTGTTACGTCCCTCCTACACAGACGAACCTCTGAATAGAGTGCGTACGTAGTGTTGTTGACTAGTGAAGTTCTTCCCGTCTTCTAGTCAACAACACTACGTACGCACTCTATTCAGAGGTTCGTCTGTGTAGGAGGGACGTAACAATATTTATTTGCGCCTTAGTAGTAACCGCGATCACAGAGCGCGATGTAGGGGGAGACGTTGTTTTAGAAGACGGGAAGAACTTCAGAGTTCGGGCGGCACTTGCTCTTTCCACCCAGCCGGTCGAATCAGATACACTACGGCTCCGCTCGGCCCCCTCTTCAACCATGTCGCTCTGGCCCAGCGGCATGGGGCACCGGTTTCCGACGCGGACAGTCTGTGTTCGATACGCAGTGTCCGCCACTCGCGTGTTTGTTTTTATGTAGGCGGCTGAATCTCGTTTGAATCTGGTCTGGATCTGGTCTGGAAAGGCACCAAATCCAGACGGCAGACAGACCACGGTCAGACTGCAGGAAGACCAGAGGAAGACGGCTGCACGGACCGCGTTCTCGTCTGGCACTCGTCTTACATCGGTCTACTTATAGTCTCCAATCGGTCTGGCCGTGCTCGCTAACTCGTCTTCCCGGGAAGACGAGAACAAGACCTCTAAGAGACCGTTTCCAGATTTCCAATTCCATACGGGCCGGGCCGCCGCACAGAGGGCCAGAAGACCGGTGGAGGCGGACACAAAACTCTGGACGCGCTTTGAGCTCCAGAGTCGCTAAACAGACCGCGAAACAAACGTGTGGCCCCCACCAATGGATTCCTCATTCAGAGGGCAATCCATTGGTGGGGTCACACCGAGGGGGTAAACACTTGCGTAATACCCTGTACACAAAAGTCGGGACGCGTAATAGTAATACATTTTGGGACCAAAGGATCAAAAAATGTCATTTTTCAATGAAATTGAGGCGTAATACATGCGTAATACAAGTGTAATACCCCGTAATAGGAAGTAGTCTGTACAAGGTTCACCGGAGTAAACACTCCCTCGGGTCCCTCGGGTCACACGTTCAGTTCGAGTCCCATCGAGAGACTCTGGAGCTCAAAGCGCGTCCAGAGTTTTGTCCGCCTCCACTGGCCTTCTGGCCCACTGCGAGGGCGTCGCAGCGCAGACCGGGAGCAGCACGGCGGGCTGGCGGTGCGAGGTATGGCCACCATTTCCCGATCCCACGCGTCGGTGGGCGGCGATCTTCAGAAAAATGTTTGCTGACTCGTTTGGCGCATTTCACTGCAATGCTTTTTCCCGCGGCAAGACGAGGGCGGTAACGAGTCGCCATTCAGATTCAGATTGATGGGAGCCGGGCCTGGCTGCGCCTGGCTGCCGACGCGGTCCGCTGCAACGCGAAGCCACGCGAAGCAACGCGACCCGACTCGTTACTGTGGGATGCAAAGCGAGGCCGCGAAGGGAAGCGCGTCCCATTCAGGCATCGGGCCGCAATGTGCGCAACTCGTTACAAAGGTGCGGAGCGTCAACACTCGCTGCCTGTGTCGAGTCCATGCTTTGCCGTGGCAGGCCATGAGTCGGCGCGCCGCGTAAAAGCAACAGCAGTTTTACTCTTTTTTCACTTTTCAGTAACTCTTTGATTCCTTTTTTCCTCATGCCTGTTGTACTTTTTCGTGTCGCGTCGGCGGCGGCGGTGTTTGGGGATGGGGTGGCGAAGTCAGACGCAGCTCCGCGTGCACGTAAACTCGGCGTACTCACGGCCAAGCGCGCGTGTCGCGTCTGCGCGTGTGAGCGTCTGTGTGCAGTGTGTGTGTACGTGTGCGTCTGTGCCTCTGGCTGTGCGCTGGTCACCGTGCCCGTGCGCATTGCAGTGGATGATGTGGAATCGGACCGAGTCAGCTCCCCCTCCCCTCCCCTCCCCTCCCCTCGCAGCGGCGCAGGGGCGCAGCACTGCATAGTACATCGCTCAAACAGGCCATGTGTGTCGCGGTCGCGGACCGGGGCTGCGCATTACAGGTTACATCGTTCTCTGACTGCAGTCACGTCGAACTGACCACTCTCGCGCCCCATCACGTTGATTGGGAGCATGGCAAACAAAGACCCGGTGACCCCGGACATTGGAAACCACCCCACCGCAAGGTGCTGTGCTTACGGGTGCTGCGTACCTGGCCGCCGACGAAGCCCGCCCGCAGCCGGCTCAGGTCCGTCTGGCTCCACTTGCTGCGGCTCCAGGGGCCGGGGCCCTGGCGGAGGTCCTCGAGCTGCAGGCGCGCCAGGCGGTTGTGCACAAACTTGCGGATGTTCCAGGGCAGGTCGTTGTGCCTGGGGATACAAGAGTGCCACTGAGTAACGCGTTCGAGGCGCACTTGGCTGTCACACGCAGCGAGACTTACCCGTCGATGAGGGGCTCCTGCTTGAGCAGCTTCTTGACGAGGTCGAGGCGCTCCTTGGTGCCCATGGTGTTGCTGACGCCGTACGGGTCCGGGTCGGCCTGGCTGGCCAGCGCGTCGTCGCCCTCGTCGACGCCCAGCTTGTCGGACAGCGGCACCCGGGTGGTCGCGGCGGGGGCGTCGTTCACCATCCCCGGCGTGGCGCCCTGCCCGACCACGGCCGCGTCCACCGGCCGCCCCGTGGCGCCGCTCACCGTGTCGCCCAGCGCGCCGCTCAGCAGCAGCAGCAGCAGCGCCAGCATCCCTGCAAACACAAGGCCGTCCGAGGAGATGAGGTCGGGTTACGCCACTCCCGGCAATCCCCCGGGCCGGGCCTCTCAGGGCCGGGCCTCTCAGGGCCGGGCCTCTCAGGGCCCCAGCCGGGCCTGCAGCCTCGGCCCCAGCCTCGGCCTCAGCCAGCTCATCTCACCATTTAATCCCAGATTAAGTGGGGCTCTGGATGTACACGCCGAGGCCTTGCCGTGTAGCCGCCCCCACCAGCCCCGCCGCACCGACCGCGCGCTGCAGCCCACCGAGTGCGGCCGAGTGGCTGGCCTGGACAACACCGCCACACCTCGGCCGCTCGGCGCGGCCAGCGCGGCATTCCGCAGCCATCCCCGTAATTAATGAGCTCCTGATGAGGCCGGCCGTCCCGTCCGCAGTCGCGCAGAGAGGACAGGGAGGGAAAGGGGCTGTCGGTACGAAACTTTTACCACACTCCCGAAAAAAAGGCCGGACATTCTTCGAGGCGCCCGGGGCGTCGCGTCGCGTTGCGTGGGCTGAGGGCGGCGAAGCAGAGGGCCGGTGCCCCATGGGAACACCCATATCGAATTCACGTGGAATCGATGTGGAGGAACGACGTGGATGTTACGTGGATGATCGAGTCGATCATCCACGGGATAGCGGTACTCGAGTATAGGTGGATTCCACGTGGATCCAGACATATCGAAATGTAATTTCCACGTGGATAAGAGATAGATATGTCGATTTGATAGGAACTCTTGAACCTGCTATCCACATAGAATTCATATCAGAAAATTCGCGATCCCCATCACATCGATGTTGATTCTTCAGCGGCCATCTGCTGCCCATGGGGACATCCCTTACCCTAACTCGCCTTATCCACCCACCATCGATGTTACATCGAGGCGCATATCGGTCGTTCCTAACACTTTTGGCAGGAAGCCCTCAAGGTTAACTCCCTTGAGGATGTCTAAAAATGAAATGACCGAGACATTTCGTCCAAAGACTGCGAAGTCCTCTGGAGCTGCCCGATGTGCTTTGTTATTTAGCTCTGGGATATGGTGAATTGGCATCCTACTAGCAGGCCGAGAGGGTAAGGAATGACAAGAATATCAGCAGGCCCTCTGTCGGCAGCTTTTAAAACTAATCGAGTTCCAAGGTCTTCACTCATCTTCATTCAATCCACGTGGAAGCGTCCGAATCTACTCAGATGAATCAGGCATAAAGAGACGACTTTGTTTCAATGAATTTGGATACGTATGATCGACATCGAGATCGTGTAGAATAGGGCCCAGATGGCCCACATGCGGGCCAGCACCATCTAACCATATTGAAACTTCATGTTCCTAAACACGTCTCTCAACCACCTAAAACGCCCGGTGGATCCAACGCGGTGTGATCTACATTTCAAGACATACTGAGAGTCGACGTGGATGCGTAGTGTGGTGTTCCACCTCTCCGAATGCCTGTGAATTACCTCATGGATAGAGAATGTTTTTATCCACGTCGATCGTGCACCCATCAAAACACATCGAATAGAAGGCCTCCAATCCACATAGAATTGCACATCAGTAATCAACGTTGAAACCAGGGGTCAGAGTCCACATTGATTGTTCGCTTTGAATTCAACGTTGATGACATATTAATAACAGGTGGATAAATCCACGTGGTCGTATCCACCTTGTCCACAGAGATTCTACGTGGAAGGAATATGGGTGTTCCCATGGGGTGGTGCCAATGCCGGCCTCCACCAGGCCCCTCAGTCCGCCCAGCCCCCTCAGGCCACGGCCGCGCCAACGTCAGGCCTGGGCCGAGTCCACGCCGCCGCCGACCGCCGCGCTGAGGGCAGATTCCGAACTGTGCTTCGTCGCCACGTCTCTCTCGCGCACCAACGGGGCGCCGCCTGAGTGCGAGAGAGACGCCGGCAAGAGCGCTGGTGGGAGTGAGGCCGTGAGGAGTCCGTCATTGCTGCGCGGCCCCGCCAACTTGCCCCAATTGGCATAACTTATCGGACCGCAAACTATTGCCCTGGATTACCACCCTCTGTCATTCTTCCCGGGTTGCCAAGGGCAGCGGGGGATCGCCCCAGCCCCAGCGAAACAATGGACGCAAATTCGTTCCAAGTTGGAGTGCGGCAGGGCGGCAGGGCGGCGGGGCGGCAGCGCGGCGGCCCGACGTCCAACCCGCCGCGCCGCTTATCGCGCCGTCCCAAAGCGCAGCCCGGGCGAGTCCGGCAGTTCCAATTGCCCACCTAAGGCCCGGGGGCAATTTGCCCACTCGGGGCGGCACGACGGCGTCCTCGGCCGCCACTTGCCACTCCCAGGCCCGCAGGTCGGCGGCTTTGTTGCTACTTCGCTGTCAAGGGGAGAGGAGAGGGCCTGGATGAAGGCACGACTGGCGCGACGGCGACTCTGTCGACTGATTCCGAGGGCCGCCTTCGTCGCTCTGTCTCTCTCGCACCTACACTGTTAAAAAAAATATGAAAATTCAGACTGATTTCGTCTTACTTGGTGGTCTGAATCGTAAATTCATAAAATGGTACGAATATTAAGACCAACGGTCTGAAAAGTTTGACCTGTTGTCCAAAATTTGAATTTAGACTAGCAAGTCTGAATATTTAGAGCGATGGCTATTAAGGTTTGTACATTGTCGTCCGAAAACTAAATTCATACTTGTGAAATCGGAAAACGAGTGAAAAAACCCCGTCCCCTGTTTACATTTTTCGATTTTCTCAGAACTTTCAACAATACTACTGTTGTATTTCAAATAATATTTACGTTTAGTGTCGTAAAAGCATATAGAATGTTTCAGAGCTCCGAAATGGACACTTATTGCTCTATCCGCTAGGTGGCGCTAGTGTCGCATGGATGATCTTTTGGAGCTAAAATTGCCACTTGAAGGCGAAATTGCGAATATTTTGTTACAAACTTATTCCAAATGATTGTCTGAAAGGGCATGAGGGTGATTCCACGCCAACTGAGTCAGTCACAAAACGGCATGGTCTCGGATCGGGACGAAACTTACGCAAATCGTAGGTCTAGTAGTGGGATGACTAAATCCAAAAGCGTTTGGCCGAAAAATATCTAGAAGCCGAGATATTGAGAGGTTAAATATGGTGCCGGGACAGCGACACGGAGACAGTTTTTCGTTCACAGTTTCGGTAATATCCATCGGATCGAGAAACCAAGCATACCGTTGGAAAGAGGAGAAAATTTTACAAAAAGTACTTCCTTTACTTTCTTTTAAAAAGTAAAAATAGTGTTTGATACGAAATAACCTTACCTTTGATTTATCGTAGAAAGTTAGTTGCACCACCAAATTTGCTGGGAAACGTCTTAAAAAATTCCCCGTGAAACAAAGATAAGAAAAAGATCAACCACAAAAAGTACTATCTCTCGTTCCCGAGATATCTGCATTTAACTATCTTGAAGTAGCATTGCGAGTTCAAGCTCGCGCGGCGGACGAGGTATGAGAAATCCTGCGGCGCGCGCATCAGTAGGTACGTCGCTAAATGACCCGAATTAGAGCAAAACGTACATTTTGAGCCACAATACTGACAAAGTGGCGTACGAAACGTGCAAGGAAGAGTGTGTGAGGCGGACATAGCTGTGGATGCGGTCAAAATCACAAATGCAACGGTTGTAAACAACTCAGTGTGCCGCAGGATTTCTCATACCTCGTCCGCCGCGCGAGCTTGAACTCGCAATGCTACTTCAAGATAGTTAAATGCAGATATCTCGGGAACGAGAGATAGTACTTTTTGTGGTTGATCTTTTTCTTATCTTTGTTTCACGGGGAATTTTTTAAGACGTTTCCCAGCAAATTTGGTGGTGCAACTAACTTTCTACGATAAATCAAAGGTAAGGTTATTTCGTATCAAACACTATTTTTACTTTTTAAAAGAAAGTAAAGGAAGTACTTTTTGTGAAATTTTCTCCTCTTTCCAACGGTATGCTTGGTTTCTCGATCCGATGGATATTACCGAAACTGTGAACGAAAAACTGTCTCCGTGTCGCTGTCCCGGCACCATATTTAACCTCTCAATATCTCGGCTTCTAGATATTTTTCGGCCAAACGCTTTTGGATTTAGTCATCCCACTACTAGACCTACGATTTGCGTAAGTTTCGTCCCGATCCGAGACCATGCCGTTTTGTGACTGACTCAGTTGGCGTGGAATCACCCATGAGCGCACCAAAGCAAGATTCAGGTTAATAAGTGCAGTATAAGCTAAATAACAAAGAATACAATTTCACTCTCGCGCGTGGCCACGGGTCGGCGCGTGGTTGGGCTAAGGCCACTCTCCCTCTCAATTCAGCAGTCACCTCTAGCCTCTTTACTACCTTTGCAAGTAGGAGTCTACTGCCGTGTACCTAATTTTTGAGCCGAGACGATCCGCTGAGCGTTTACGATAAACCGATGGCAAAAGTTCGCCGATTTGTGTTCTACTCTTCAGAGTGGCATTTTTTAGTGCGACTGTTCAATGTCTTCGTACAACTTAGTCTGATAAAATAGACCGACTGGTATCATTTTTCATACAACATGTTTATCTGAAAATTCAGACTAACGTCGTCTGAAACTTTCAGACCGCGAAGTATGAAAAGTTTTGGTATGAAAATTCAGACTGAATGTAAGTAAATCGACTTCTTACAAAAAATTATTAATTTTCAGTAATTTTTTTAACAGTGTACACGGGACGCCCCACGAGTGCGAGAGAGACAGAGCGACGAAGGCGGCCCTCGGAATCAGTCGACAGTGTCGGGGTGTGGATTTCCAGGCCATTCCCTGCGCCGCGCCGCACCGTGCCACGCCGTGCCACGCCGTGCCACGCCGTGCCACCGGCTGCTGAGGAGTGGGCCCAAAGTTTCCTCTCCCCGCGGGGCCCGGCAGTTTTGTAAATATGGTCCTACTTCGGCGACTTTCGGCTTCCAGCGCAGCCAGCTTCCAGGGCGGCATAATCCAGGCGACAGCAGCAAGCCGGTGACTCCGAGACTCGCTCACCCGTCCGCACCGGGGGCGGGGGGGGGGGGGAGGGGCGGGGAGGGGCGTGGAGGGGCGGGGGGGGGCGGGGGGGGGCGGGGAGGGGCGTGGAGGGGCGGGGGTTCCCCCTCCCCG